GTGCGAGTTGAAGGGTAAGAAAATGAAATAGAAACTTTTTCAGGGTTCCCAAAGTAAAACTGTGACTCTAATGAATAGTGCTACATAGTGTTCTTATACTGTGTTGATTAAGGAAAATTCCAGGGGCCTTAACGCAAAGTGTTTGCCCTATTAAGCTTTTTCTTTTTCTTTTTGTTTTACTTCAGCTGAGAACTTTGAAAAATCATAGTAATTAGTAGAAAAATCAGAAAAAGGAAAATGAATATGTTTTGGAATCCTCGTTACTAGCTCTATGCAGTAGACATATTATATCATATGCTTAGTGCAAAATAATTGTCTTAAAAATTACCCTAGGGTTTGTTGTAATTAATTAAAATAGTTCTTATGCTCCAAATGCTATGAAACTTTTACAGAAGCATAACTTTGCTATGTTTGTACTCTAGTAAGAATTTTATGTTCAGTAGGTACTGGATGACTGGAGTATTAATTTAGCTTGTGAATACTAGTTTAATGCTTGAAATAAAATTAAAAGAAAATAGAAATATAAAATGTATGTCCTTAGAATATTATTACTACAATAGTACTTTAGGACACTTGTCAACACATTGGAATTGTATAACTAAAAACACTTGTTAGGAAATGACATCTTTCTTGACGATGTTGATACGTAGATTAGTACGTTAGTCATTAGAGCTAGCTTGTTAGTTCGTAGTATGTACTCTGTTTTAAGAGTTGTTGCCTAATTAATTAACTGTTGCATCATCTCTGCATCGCATTGCATACCATAATAGGGACATCGATGGATCGCGGAGTCATCGGAAGTTGCTGGAGGAATGGTACTATTGGAGATTGTGTCGCCATGATGGAAAACTAACTTTTGATTAAATCTTACTTAGGCAAGCCCCGGTGCGTAACTCCTACTTTTCTGCACTTTAAATTATATTTGTGCATTAAGTTTTAAGGAGTTGAATGAAACCCACTTGCATATATATCTCTTTTTCCTATGAGTCTTCCTAGTATGACAGGATCGTGTAGATTGCTATGCTACAAGACACCGATAGAAGTCGAGTGATTGCCTGTCACTCGCTAGAGATAGAAAATATATTACTGTATTATTATCACTTGAAAAATATAAATGGTGGAAAGGAAAAACGAAGACCGGGCAGGGATATGGTTTGGGTATTGGTGGGTGTAAGAGGTTGAGTCCTGCGGTCAACGGGACATAGATTGGTTACACTGTTTTCCCTATCTGTGTCGGTTAAGGACCAGCCGTTGCATTGGGTTCTAGGCAGATCACAGACTTATTATCCCGAGCACATACTTGGGTATGGGCGCAGGAAAGACTTGTTACTCTCTTGTCATGGGTTCCGGCTCTTTCCGGACCGACTGTCAGGGTGGTTTTTGGGTGGAGGTTCTTGCACCGCGTTGAGTGCGGGACTCAGGGGCGGGGGCTTGGAGTCCCAGTTTGGACGGAGACCTGCACCCCGTGACAGGAGGGTAGTGGGTTGGTCCTGCTTGTGCCTGGGGTCCAAGCGGGGCGTGTGTTTCGAGGTACCCAGCTGGGCATATTGATTCACGAATCACCGGACAATCCGGTATGGCTTGTCTACAGTCTAGCAATGTGGTAAGAACTGAAAGATGAAAGATGGTAAAAATGATTCTGATTGCTTATCATCTGCTTGAAAGTAGCACAGGTGGTTACATAGAATGGTTAGTTAATGAACTAATGCGACTGCTAATAAAAATTGAATATAAGGACGCACGCTTAGTAATGCTTTCTGCAGATGCAATAAACCCATAAGCCAGATAGCCTTGCGTATTCTTAGTCTTTTCTTTTCTCCTGTCGGGTAAGTCTTGCTGAGTACAATTGAGTACTCAGGGTTTGATTCCCCCCTGTTGCAGGTGACAGGTGGATGCTAGAGCTGACCCTTGTGTGTAGATTTCTCCTGGTTGGCTCAGAGAGGATTCCTTTACGTTGCGATCATAGTTTTTATTTATAACCCTCACTAAAAGTTTTTATAAATGAAAGTTTATAATTTGTTGTCATAGTTTATATATCAATGCTTCATCATGTCATGAATAGATATTTATTTCCGCTGTAATTCTGATCACATGTCTATATTCCGCTGTTAACGTAAATTGTTCATAACTCTAATAACATGTTCATATTCCACTATTATAAATAATAAATATCATACTCTGATGATACATGTAAAGTGATGTAAGAAATGGTTTAAATGTTGTAAGCTTTATTCTGTCATTTCTGATCCTAATAGGAAAAATGTTGATTTTCGGGTTCTCTCCTGGGGTGTGCCCAACGGAACTACGTAATTTGATGTCCTCCCTTGAGTACTTAGTGTCTAATGAAAGACAAGTACTCCTGGGAGACATTAGATTAGACGGTTCTGCCACAAAGGCCAACGGGTTACCCGAGTCGATCAGACGGCTCGGGCGGCAGTCGAGAGACAGGTAAGGAGCAGTAGGATGCCCCATGCGGGTTATGCCGACCCCATCATGAACGACGGACACAGATCCCACTCGGACATATCCGATAGGAGCTTCCCGGACCCGTCACTCGAGCCATCAAGGTAACTTTACCGGTCGTGGACACTATGACCCCTCCCTGAAGGGCTTTGTCGGTCTCTCCAAAGACCCGGAGACCCTTGGGTACCTCTACTGCTGCACCATGGCCAGCACCGCGACTGGCCTCGACACTGACAAAGTATTGCACCCTACTTCCTCTGATTTCAAGTGCGCCAAAGGAGAAGGTGTACAACAAGAACCCAGCAGCTGAGGGGCAGCGTGTAAGTGCCACCCTTTGCACATGTGCCCGGGCAAATTCTGCCTTGTGGAGTGTGTCTCCATTGATAACAGAATGACTGATCAGGAGCTCAGGAGGTGGGTGCTGACGGGGGCTGATCCGTTGGGTTTTATGGGAGGCAGGCCCCAAGGCGGTTGTTTTATGTATCGTTTGAAGACCTTCTCCCTCAGTTATGACACCAAAGGAGACCTAAAGCTTAAATACTCCAAGGTTCATTGCTACAGCCTGCCTTATGAAGCAAGAATTGGTACCATATGTCAGGATCCAGTAGCATTTTGGCTGTGAAAAGCTAAAATCATGAACCACATTATGTGATCTCCCAAACATACCTGTTGAGATAAACTACTGACTGAGTCTAGTGTCATCTGAACCACATATCATATTTGCATCATTTCATTTCAGAACATACTAACAAGAGAATGGCAATTTCACCTGCTGGGTGACGCTATGCATCTCATTTGGTTGAATAAGATCTGCAAAGTCGAGGTCCAGCAGCACATGAGAAAATTAATAATATGGCATCCCTAATACTATTTGTACTTCAATAGGTTTTCTAGTGCTCTTTTCTTTGAACTAACACTTAGTTAAACAGAGAAACTTGTAAAGCTTCAAAGGGTTGTTATATTAATCATAATAGTTCAAGATAGTTTGTTAAGTGGAATTAGCAAGCTATCAGCAGGTTAAACAATGCAACAATATTACTGATCCTCTTGGTGGGAAAAATATTTGGGACTCAACCTGAATAACATTTGACAGTAATAACTTCACCTAGAGATATCAAGCTTGCATGTGGCTTTTCTTGACATGCATTATCCTTGTGCATTGGATGCTTGCAAAGCCGTTTGTCACGTTTGTATCGCCCCCTTTTGCTTGCAAAAATGAAACCAAAGTACAGGGACTAATCACTCGTGGTTCCATGGTGAGCTCTCTCATTGGAACAAGCTTATGCTCCTTCACCAGCACCTTCTTTAGCTAAAACATAGAAGGCATAGGGAAGTTGGGGAAGGGGTTTGGTACCGTGCTGCTGCCAATGCGTCAAAGCGACCTTCTTTGCATCTTTGATTTGGTTGAGAGTTTGAGAAGCTGCTTCTGTGTTCATGCTGGCTGCCAGGCCTACTTTGAAATTAGATGGGGAAAAAAATCTAGATGTAGTTCTGCACTCTACAAGCAGCGATGCCGGAGATCCTCACTGGATTTTCTCCATCCCGTAGGTATCTTCAGCTCCATTTGCTACCTTTCTTCTTCTCTCTGCTATCATCTTGGTGTATGCCTGAGAGAAGCCAGCGCAGGGTCAGTTCTATCGTTCTTTGAACTACATTTCTAACACAACACTCTAGAAGCAATGTTTAGAACAGGGTTAGGCCAAAGGCATTTGACACAGAAGAAATGCTTATTTCACTGATATGCTGCAGTTAGTGGTTTGAACTGGTAGCACAGGCAATGTTCCTGCCATGCATGTACAATATGTTTTTCTATGAAGGGTGCTGGTCCATATAAAAATAATTTGACAATTACATGTTAAAACCTCTGTGTCAGTCTATGTTCTGCTGATTAAACAAGGGAAATTACTTACAGTTACTACTTTCTGATATTCGAGTTGCTTTTCTATAAAGTTGGCTAGGTTATTTGCATAAAGTTGTCTAGCTTCGCTGGGCGCTATAATCAGGTAGTCTTTTACACATAAACATCCAGTTAGTTAAAAGAGGAACAAGTTAGAGGACTCAAACTCTCAAGACTTGCAAGCAGAGGCTTTCTGGTTCTTGTATTAATGAGTGATGCTCTTTTGCACAATTGTATAACCCCCAATCTTATTTTTATACTTGTGGGATGACAACAAACATTCAGCCTCTTCAGTAGTCGGGTTGTATAATTCAAGATGATGTGTCAGCAGAAATAAAGTGCTAGTGCAAGTATTTATTTTATAAGTCTAAAAATAGATACTAAAACATAATCCGACCAGGGAGATAACCACTAACATTGTTTACTTGGGTACAAGGTCAGAGCAATTTTCAAATGAAAACACTAAACAGAACATATTATGACAAATATCAACTCGTTATTTATTCATCTTCAAGTGCTTCCAAAGGTATTCAATTACAGAAAACTTGTAACAATGCTACTGATACTTATGTCACCTTGAAAACTGCAAGTTCACGTGTTGTAAAATATGAGCTTACTTGTAACTGAGCATCCTGCTCCTTTACATGACAATTATTTTGATGCAAGAGCCTTCCTCCACCAGGTAGACGCACAAAAGGAATGCTACTAACATTTCATACTCCATCAATAGGCAATTATATCCTGCCAGTCCATCTTCACAATGTGACCTGCAAAATTTTCACAGGATTCAGCGAATGGTACTGTGGAACTAAAGAAAATCAGGAACCAAAAAAAAAAGGAAAAAAGAGAAAGAAAACAATATATACCTCGTGCCCATTTTATCGAACACATTGATTGTATCATCGATGGAAGCGTCAACGCCGGCATTGAGTTCGATGGCCGGCGGCAATGGGGAGGACACGGGAGCAGCAAGGGGCATGGAGGGCTGCAGATGCCCTCGTGCTCGGGCCCCGGCCCTTTCCGCGTGGGTGCAGGCACGGGCTACGCTAGGTCGTGGCTGCGTCGGGCTCCGCCTGGGCCCTCTCCTTGGATCTCCGGCGACGCAGCCAGGCCAAGCCGTCATCGAGCCGCGGGTTGGAGCAGGGGCGGCCGCGGCGCAACGCCCAGGGGATGAGGTTGGAGGACGATGGCAAGCAGCCTCGCCTCCACCACGAGCTTCGGTCGCGCCATCGCTCAAGAGCAGCCAGCTCTCCGGTGCCGGATGCGGCCGTCGGCGAGGTGCAGCTTGCGATGTGCAGGCAAGGGCGAGGGAGCGGGCAGAGAAATTGTTCGGCCCGCGAAGGTTCGCGATGGATCGGCCGATGTTTAATCGGGTGCGAGACCCGAACCAATCCGTATCGGACGGACCAGATCATACGAGCGCTCGATCCAACGGCTATCGGATTAACGGGCGACGTGGCCCTATCCATTAGCCCGCTTTTAGTGCAGGAATCGTATATCTAAAGAATTCCTATTACACCAACCGCGTACAATCGTCCAGGTATGTGCGTAAGTAAAAAACAGCTTCAATTTTCTGGTGTTTCACTGGTGTCTGGTGAATGGTGATGAAGTGATGAAGCCGTTTGACCTCAAATTACGCGAAACTAAGGCCGTTTAGTGACCTCAACCGTGGAGCTACGGAGAAATCGAAACTAAGCACGGCAAAGAAGTTTTAGGGGCACTGAGGAGGAGCAATATTTTTGCATTCACCCCAAAGCTCTGTGAGCCCGTTCATCCGATTTCGTTTGGCGAAGAACGGCTCTGCAGTTCCAACGCACGAAAGAAGCATCGGCACACGGAGCCAATTTCCCCGCACGAGAAGAGGCCAGCCAACCCGTTCTCTAACTCTTACAGGCCACAGCCCACGAGAAAATACACATGGGAACGGCCCAGCCCACGACCGCTACTAGGCAGGGCCGTAGGCAGCGATCTGGTCCAGGCTCCATAGGCCCAAATCCATTTGAGCGAGCGTTCACCCGATTTTTGAAAAAGTAAAATATTTATTTTAAAATGCTATAACTTCTGAACGATGTATCTGTTTTTAATTTTGTCTGCACCGCTATGTTCTATGTGACGAGATGAACAAAACTAGACCTCACTTTCATAAGTTTCGAAGAATTTTTTTCAGTAGCAATTTTTGTGTATTAAATTATGACATATAATATATAACCTACAATTTATGCACACAAATTGTATTGAATAACTTTTTGCAGGTCGGATTCATTCGGTGGCATGGCTACATCTGCACAGACGTTTCCTTTTTCCTCCTTTTTGTTTTTTCTACCATTTTTTCTTTTTTTTTGTTATATATATTTATAAGTTATACTACGTAATTATTTTTGTACATAGTTTTCATATTTCTACTAATATGTTATGGTATTAATTTGTACATATAAGTTCTTAATATAAGTTATACGTCTAACTTTGTATCTACATTATTCATATATCTATGTTATACAAATAAGTTATACATAAAAGTTTTCTGTATAATTTTTGTAGCTTTTTATGAAATTATGTTAATAAGTTTGTACCATAAAATATTATACATAAAAGTTATGCGTATAACTTTATCATGTAGTAAGTTATATATATAAGTTATGTGCTTTAACTTTGTCACGTTGAAGGTATATCTATGTTGAAGTCATGTGTACAAGTTATATGTTGTAAAACCCTCGGTGTTACATCGTAAATCGTTTACTAAAACACTACATGAACATCATGTTTATGTTTTAATGCATGTAATAAAGAGTGTAGATAAATTTTCGCAACTTAAAACGATCAACGGAAGTGCGAAACGAAAGTTAATTCAATAGTCGTGTTATATCACTTAGGGTTTAAAACCATTTTTTATTAAGCAAAAATGCTATAGAACATGTATGTGATACTTAAATAAGGTTTGAAGTGCAAACTTTGTAGATGACAATGAAATACTCACGGTCAAAAAATGATATTACTAGCTAAGATTTTCAATAGCTTAGAAATGCAATTTGAAATAGAGTTCAACGCAAAACTTAGAAAAATTTCGAAGTTTGCCGATAGATAGATACTGCTAGGTTTGCCAATTTATTGCGTGAGATTAGGTTAAGCAGTAGGGGAGTATTATGGCTTGTTTTAGTAGCCTCATATGCCCTCTTAGGTATAGCAACGCTGGTTTAGATGTTTGGTCAACTGATTGAGTGAATTGGACGCTTTAAAATGCGTGGATGGCACGTTCTTGGTTGGGTTCCTCGCGTAGGCGCGGTCACCGCGCTCCTGAGCCGTCGTCGGTGCGCCGGCCGCACGCGCGTGTGTCTGGCCACGCTCGGCTGGCCGCTAAGGCCGACAGCCCTGGCGTGCAGTTGTCCCTCCTCACTGTCGCGCTGCGCGTTGCCGCTGGCGCTGCTGTTGGTGCCACTGGGGCCGCCTGCGTTCGCTCTATTGCTCGGCTCTGCTCCGCCAGCCGCTGCCACTGTTGCGCCGCTGCTTGCACACCGCCTCGCACATGGGTGCCATGACCGATGCCTACCTCTCTCTCTCTCTCTGCTCTGGTGGCGCTGCGCCAGTACGGGATCGAGGCCCCTGCCTTTCGCACGCGCGCCTATCCCCGCTTGCGGTCAACCGTGCCCTGTCGAGGTGGCGCGGAGCTCCCGCGCGTGGCACATCGTGCCAAGCCGCTGCTGGCCTCGCCCTGCGCCGCACGTGGAGTTGTCGTCCTCTCGCCTTGTTCTTTTCTGTTGAATGGCTACGTGATGCATCGGGCTGTCCCTTCTCTGCATCTCTCTCGCGCGAGCTGTTGCGGCCGCCGGGGACGGGCAGGAGGGACCGAGTCGTGCCAAAGCCAAATCCACAGCGCCTGGTCATTTTCAACGCAATTACTCGCGCCAGGTGCTAGTACTAGAGTGCTGCTACCGCGCCAGTCCTCTCCGGCCTTCAATTGAGCCCGGCCAAACTCCAATTGGCCATTTCCCTCGTCGCCGAGCCGTTAAGGCCGCCTTCGGCCGAGGCAGATGACAAACCCGATCCCAAGTGGCGATTGAGCCAGACAGCCGCACCATTAGCTTCGTATTCCACTCTAAGTCACCCTATGCACCTCACTTGCACCACCACTGCTTTCCTGGCGCCGCTGACGCTGCCGCGCCACCACGGTCCATCGCTAGGCTTGCCATGTGCGTGTGGCTGGATGCGCCCGGTCTGTCCCCGGTCAAGCCACAACCATAGGTAGCTGCGGGGTGAGTTGCTGATGCCCACCCATTGGTTCTTTCATCTCTGTTGTGCCTAGGCTCACTGGACCATGGCTGTCGCCGCCGTAGGGTGTCCGTCGCCGAGGAGGGAGCTCTTGAATGCGTCCCCGCTCATCTCTTCACCGCGCATCGATTCGTGTCTGCATCTAGGTGAGCATTGGTCCCTTAGAAGGGACGGGGAGGGGCCTGGATGGCCGACGTGGCTGTCCAGTGCCATCGCGGTGACGCGCGCGGGGGTGGCCGGAGGACCGGCCGTTGTAAAGAAGCGAATGGGGAAGGGTTTATTTGTATAGGAGCAGTCTGTAGGAAAAGTGTTGCGGACCTCAGGGTGAATCGGCGATAGCTCAAGGGTGTTTTTGTGAAGATGTCGACGCGCGCGGGCCTCCCCATCGCGGGCCGTTTCGCACGATTGGGCCGCGCGGATGGGCCGCACGAGATTCGGTCTTCTTTTTTTCCAGCGAATTAGCAAAGGTTTTTCTAATTTAGTTTTGAGCTGATCTTTGAAAATTATAGTAAATTCTGTAGGTATCCAAAAATAGTGAAACAAAATTTGTTAGGTTCACAAAAATGTGTCTATCTATTGATGTAGTTAGTTTACAGTTATTTGTGAGAATGTTAGGTTCATTAATGCATTTAGGAAAGCTTAGCATTTTTTAGATTAATATTTATAGGAATTTTTGTGACAAATTGGTAATAGTTTGACCATAAAATTTTTATAGTAGGTTCATTCTATTTTTTTAGCCACTGTAATTTTTGTAGCCTTAGAATATGTTGAGAAATATGGTAGCTAAGTACTCCTTGTTTTAGTATATATATTAAATCGGCAATAAGAATAAGGATGCCTTTAATTGTTAAGATAATACATGAAATGTTTCATACCTGTTTAGTGGAAATAATAAGTAACTTAGCGTATTAGTCATTAGAGCTAGCTTAGTAGCTTGATAGATGTATTCTTATTTTAAGAGTTGTCGTTGCTGTATTACTAAGTGTTGCATCATCATTTCATGCATGTAGATAACGAGTTGGTAGAGCTTGTGACCGTGGTTGAGCCAGAGTATGAGGAGATAATCGAGGAGTACAAGGAGGAGATCCTTGTCCAGGAGGCAGCCCCAGAGCCACCAGCGGCTAACTTTGCTGACACCACTCCTACACAAGGCAAGCCCCGGTGCATAACCCTTATTTTGAATGGTTACTGGATATATATGTGATGTGCATTTACGTTACAGGTATTTTATGTAAACTACATGCATAGATATACCTACATATAAGTCCTACTAGCATAGGTCGAGTAGCTGCTATGCTTAGGATTTTTGGTAGCGTGAGTAACCTGCCGTTACTCACAATAGGTGACTATTATTATCACTCTCATAATAAAATGGTGAAAGGAAAAATGGAGACCGGGCAGGGATATGGTATGGGTATTGGTGGGTGTAAGAGGTTGTGTCCCGTGGCCAACGGGGCATAGCTTGGTTACACTTTTTTTCCCTGTTCGTGTCTGTTAAGGACCGACCGTTGCATTGGATTCTAGTTAGGTCACAGACTTATTATCCTGAGCACATACTTGTTTATGGGAACAGGGAAGGCTCGTTGCTCTCTTATCGTGGGTTCTGGCTCTTTCCAGACCGACTGATTAGAGGCGGGGATGGTAGAGGTCTAAGCACCACACTGAGTCCGAGACTCAGGTATGGGGGCTTAGAGTCCAAGTTTGGATGGGGACCTA